CGGCTCCGGGGGGTCCCCAGAGGCCGCCTGGGGGGGGGGGAACATGGGGTGGCAGAAGGGGTGACGCGCCCCTTGGGGACAGGGGACAGGGGACAGGCTGGATGTGCTGTTACCTGCGGGGTAGTTGTCTCCGGGGAGGGGAGTGTAACCTGCAAGAGTGAGTAGAGGGTGTGAGGAAGGTCTGTGTCACCCCAGGCCACTGTCCCTGTCCCCACCAGGCCACTGTCCCCATCCCTGTCCCTCCTCGACCACTCACCCGGTGCCAGTGGCCTGGCCTGGTAGCGGTAGACGCCGGCAATGAAGAAGCCAAGCCCCAACGCCATCACCATGGTGGCCGCGGCCACCTTCAACGTCAACCCTGGGGACAAGCCAGGACCTGCAGGGACACAGTGGGAGTGAGCAGCGACGTGGCAAGGACCCGGGTGTCCTGATCGGTGTCTTCCCCGCCCCGACTCACCCCAGTCCTCCAGGAGGGGCTGGTCCAGGCTGGCGTGTTGCACCGAGCACGTGAAGGTGTCCCCGGCCACCGGGGCCACCATCAAGGTCACCTGTGTCTGGTAGGTCCAGTCACCATTGGGGACAGCGGAGATGGGGGGGTGGTCACCGGGGCCCACGATGTCCCCGTTGTGCAGCCAGATGACGGTCACCTCAGGGGGGTAGAAGCCCCAGACGTGGCAGGTGAGGAGGACGGGCGCCCGGGCATTGCCCGTCTTGGAGGGGATGATGCGGGCTTGGGGTGGCGCTGGAGCAGGGAGGGGGGACGGTCAGTGCTGGTGTGAGCCCCCTCCCCACCCCAGGCGATGTCCCCATGCGATGTCCCCATGCAACATCTCTGTGCAATGCTCCATGCGATGCCTCGTGCAAGATCTGGGCACTGCTCCATGCAATGTCCCCATGCAACACCCCCACGCGATGCCCTGTGCAATGCTCTGTGCAATGTTCCCGTGCAATGTCCCCATGCAACGCACTCTAATGTCCCCGTGCAAAGCCCCGTGCCATATCACTGTGCAACGTGCAATGCAATGCGCCCGTGCCATGCCCCGTACAATGTTCCCATGCAACGTCCCCATGCAAGGTGCTCTGCAACACCCCCTTGCAGTGCCCCATGCAATGCTCCGTGCAACGTCCCCATGCAATGCACTCTGCAACGCCCCCCTAGAAAGCCCTGTGCAATGCTCCGTGCAACGTGCAATGCAACGTCCCCATACAACATCCCCATGCAATGTGCAATGCAACACTCCCATGCAATGCCCCGTGCAAGGCTCCGTGCAATGTCCCGATGCAACATCCCCATGCAACGTGCGATGCAATGCCCTGTGCAAAGCCCTGTGCAATGCTCTGTGCAACATCCCCGTGCAACGTGCTCCACAATGTCCCCGTGCAATGCCCCATGCGATGCTCCATGCAACGTCCCTGTGCAACATCCCCATGCAATGCAACGCCCCATGCATCACCCCACGCAAGCTTCTCATGCAACACCCCGGTGCAACACCCCCAACACAACACTCTATGCCACGTCCCTGTGCGAAGCCCCTGTGCACGATGGCCCCGTGCAAAGCCCCCATGCGCTGCAGGGCTCACTCCGCCGCAGCACCGTGGAGGCCAAGAACTGGGGGGCCAGGTCGTGGCAAGCCCGGCGTCGGGCCTCGGCGCGCTCCACCCAGGCGGTGCCGTTGTTGAGGAAGGTGGCGAGGTGGGTGGCGCAGGAGCGGAGCAGCCCCCAGTCGCAGGGGACAAAGTGCCGGGCGTCGGGGTCGTAGCAGACCAGCGGGTTCTTGTTGAAGATGAGGGTGAAGTCGAAATCCAACACAGAGCCGTTGGCCGCCAGCGGGCAGGAGCTGGCCAGGTGCACCAGGAAGGCGCCTACAAGGGGGACGCGGGGGTAAGCGGCATCTCCTGGGGTGCTTCTGTCCATCCCCGTGTCTCTATCCACGTCTGTCTGTCCCCATCCCTCCATCCATCCCCATCCCTCCATCCATCTCATCTCCACCTCTCCATCCATCCCCACCACCCCCATCCCTCCATCTGTTCCCCAGCTGACTCCATCCGTCTGTCTGTGCTCCTCCCTCCATCCAGGCCCAGCCCTCCTTCCACCTTCATCCCTTCATCCATCTCCATCCGAGCCCATCCCTCCATCCGTCGCCATCTCTTCATCTACTCCTCCATCCCTCCATCCGTGCCCATCTCCCCATCCCTCCATCCACCCCATCCACCGCCATCCCTCCATCACTCTCCGTGCCCCCATCCAACCCCACACCTCCACCCATCTCCATCTCCCCATCCCTCCATCCGTCCCCATCCCTTCATCCACCCCATCCATCTTCATCCTTCCATCCATCCCCGTCCATCCCTATCCCTCCATCACTACCCATGCCTCCATCCAACCCCACACCTCCATCCGCCTCCACCTCCCCAGCCCTCCATCCGTCCCCATCCCTCCATCCATCCCCTTGTCCCCACCTGTCCCCCGTACCTCCCCATGTTCCCCCCACACTTGGACCCCGCTTGGGTCAATCCCCAGCCCCCCCAAAGTGTCCTGGGGTTCCCATGGGATCACCCATCAACCATGACGTGACACACCCCGCCCCCCCAAGCCATCCCCACGGGGTCACCCAGCAGCCTTGGGACAGAGACACCCCCCCCAAACCATCTTCAGGGGCAGAGCACCCCAAACTGTCCCTGGGGTCCCATGGGACTGAGAACCTCAAGATTGTCCCTGGGGTCCTGCAGAGCACCCCCAATCTATTCCTGGGGTTCTGCAATGCTGAGTCCCCCCTAAACCATCCCCAGCATCCAGCAGGGATGAGCCCCCCAGGCTGTCCCCGGGGTCCCATGGGGCAGAGCCCCCCCAAACCATCCTTTGAGTCCCTCGGGGTTGAGCTGCCCCTCCCCCCCCCAAACGATCCCCAACATCCCACAGGGCTGAGCCCCCTAGACCGTCCCTGGGGTCCCATGGGGCTGAGCCACCCCAAAACATCTCTGGGGTCCTGCAAAGCTGAGCCCCCCACAAAGCATCCCTGGGGTCCCAAAGCGCGGAGCTCCCCCCCCCCCGGACCATCCCCAGGGTCCCATGGGACTGAGCACCCCCCAGCTGTCCCCAACATCCAACAGGGCTGA